TTTTTTTTTACCATGTATTCGATAGGGTTTAATTAATATTTATATTCATTAATTTAGCTTTAAAAAATATTTTTTATGTTCTCTAAACATAATAAAATATATACATAAAAAGCTGATATTAACAATTTTCACTAGTTTCTTGTAAAAAAATCCCGAAAAAAGCGTGTTTTAGAGTAGAGTACCCCCTTAAACCACAAGAAATGAATCACAGTCGCTTATTCTTCTCTGATTCGACTGTAATTGGTCAATTTCTTAGGGCCTGAGCACAATAGAGGAACAAGAATTAGATATTAAGATTTTAACCTATCAGAAACTGATTACATCGGAATACACGGTTTCTGATAGGTTGAAATCTTAATATCTAATTCTTGTTCCTCTATTGTGCGCAGGCCCTTACGGCTTAAGGCTTAAAAGACTTATTTGTAGATCCGGGGTTATTTCATGCGTGGTACAAGCAAAGACATAGAGAATGGACTGCGCGATTCGTATCTAAGTAATGTATCAAATGTGGTCGACAATAATGAGAGAGAGGGATCATGGGAGACGGCTAAAGCTGGAAACACAATAGACACAAGCAATATGCACAGGCAACAAGGAATAACGAACCGTCCAATCAGAGCTCTGGGATATAATATCAAACTTATACCCCAAAGCTCTGATTGGACGGCTCGTTATTCCCTGTTGCCTGTGCCTATTGCCTGTGTCTATTGTGTTTTCAGCTTAATCTCCTTCTCATTCTCTCTCCCATTACACCATTGAATGGAAAGAGATAGAAATGGCCGTCTGCAACGGTTCCTCTCTCTTTCATCCCTATCGACCATTTTGACACACGGATCGCGCAGTCCATTCTCTATTGGCCGGTATTCATAGTCGATTCTTATTTCAAGACCGTCTTAAGTAATATCTTAAGACGCTAATGTAGCCCTCTGATTGGTTCGTGACTTCTTAAGACCGTACTTAAGACGGTCTTGAATATAAGATCTGACTATGAATCCCGGCCTATGTCATTAGGTTTGTTCGCGTCGCAAGTTCCAAATTAACCCAGAGAGCACTTGGATCACCGGCAAGATGGCGGTTGGAGCAATTGGATTCATGTGCCCCAATGCTCGGCGACACGAACGGATTGGGACAACTTGGGACAAGCGTCCTGTTGTTCTATAGCTATACGAATAGTTTCACCGATCGTATGCAGGACGTAGGAATCAATTACCAGCCATTTGCATTATTACCTCTGAAATGGATTTCAGAAATTTTTTGAGAGATTTCCGTTTTGGAATTATTAATGAAATTAATGATAATTTCCTCAAAAATGTTTTACTTTTTGCTTATGATTTACGTTTTTCACCAAACGTAAGAAAAAAAGCGTTGCTCTTCTCGCTTCATTCTCGTTAAAGTTACATCATAGAACCATAAATACTATCAACACTACACATTCTCAATCATTACGCATGCGTGCGTAACATACCCCAACCGCACCATCTTCTGAGGTGAGGCAAATGAAGCGTGCTCTTAATTGATCCATGGAGTATGCTCTAACGCGACGCAAACATCTAGTCGCTATATTGGTTCCGGTGACGCGAACGTATTGGAGCGCGTTGGAATGAAAAGGAGCATATTGGAGCGTGCGACGCGAACAAACCTTTTGGGTACAAGACAAAGACATATAGCGTTTTTCATTGGGAAAACTGGTGCAACACTGGTGCGTACTGAGTGCAATTGTGTTGTTCCACTGTGAAAACTAGTTCAGTGTTCCATTGATAAAACTGGTGCAAAAAACTTACACTGAGTTCAACTTTTGCTCCACTGTCTTTGAAGTCAGTGGAGACCAGTGTAAGTTGAAATTGAAGTTGTGTTCGTGCTAAAGTATGATATTATGGGGATGATCTCGATTGACCACGGCTCGATTGGCACCACCAATCACAGCGACCGGTGTTTAGGAGCTTTGTAGTTTCAAGCGCTGTGAGTGGCTCGTGTCCAATTGAGCCGTGTCCAACTGGGTGCCACCCGATATTATGTTATGATATGATATTACATTATTGTAATTAATGTTATAACAATGACATTGTTTAGTTTCAATGTTTCTAATAATAGCTATGCAATGACTGTCACGTCCGGTTTTTCGATTTCGCCGGACGCGGAGCGCGCGTTCGAACTCGTTAATATTAATGAGAGAATAGTGAATATAAATAATAGTAAATATAAAAAAAATATAAATTATATCGGGTGGTCGGCGGGCGGATACCGAAAAGGTTCCGTTGACGAGCGACGAAGGAAGGTCGGAGGGTTGAACGGCGAGGAGCTCGTTGTGAGTCCCGTTCTGACGGCGGCCGGAGCTCGGTGTGAGCTGCACGGCGACCGATGACAGGAAGTCCTCGCAGCGCTGCAGACACTCGCTCGGACGGAATTTTTTTATGAGGGACGGAACCCGTACCCAATTAGAATACGGTTCAAGGTTGGGAGTCGTCGCTTGTACGATTCGCGGCACTTATATATTCACTTTGATAATAGACGGCACAAACGACACAACGACAGACAGGCACTCGCAACGAATGAGGCGCGATTCGTAAAGGAATTCTAGGATAGAAAAAAAAAAGAAAATGGGGAGAAAAACAACAAAAAAAAAAAGAATTTTGACAAAAGAAACTATTTAATTCCAACTTGCGATTGTCCTTACGCTTTAAGATGGAAGGAATTAATTGGTCAAATTTACACGAAAGAATAATATGCTTGCTGGTGCTGGTGTAACATTCACTGAGTTAGGTGAGCCGACTATGGAAAGAGAAGATGCAAAAGAAGGTTTACTAAATTGCGCTTTCGATTTGCGATTTAACGACGTAATGTACGGTGTTCACAATATTTTACTTAAAATTGTCTATAAGTCAACGGCCGAGGGTACTATTCGCAATTCCGCGTTATTCGGATGTTTTACTTAAAATTGTCTATAAGTCAACGGCCGAGGATACTATTCGCAACTCCGCGTCATTCGGATATCGAAGTGCACACTGAACTCACCTCGACAGAGGCCCGTGACTTTTCTGAATTTTCCTCCTCCTGACGAGGGGTCGACTACCGCTTATGGTCCCTGTAGAATTCGCCTTGGAGATCCTGGGGCAAGGTACCAACCACCGGACCCGAATAGCTCACTCGCGAACAAACAAAAAGAAAGAGAAAAAGAAAAAGGAGAAAGAAAACATGAAAATCGCCCTTTATCGCGAAATCTCGATGATTATTCGCCTAATAATTTTTCAATATCGAATTTTTACGCATCTGAACTATGGCCACTGATATGCAATCGTACGATTTGACTAAAGCGATTCGAAAAAAATTTTGCAAACTCTGACTCGTACTGAACTCTAATTCGGATGAAAATTCGTACTAAATTCTAATTCTGCTGAAAATTCACACTGAACTCCCCGGGACCATTCGGATCGCCGTTTATATAATATTACAAGGGATGATGCTGAGCGGCAAAGGGGGTAGACCCGTCAACATCTATACTTATTTGCGAAAATTGTTCTAGAATGTTCTATCGTTTTACTTTTCGTTAATTTAATCGTCTTAGAATATGATATTTGAGGGATGAGATATTGACAAGGCCCCCTTGGGAGCTCCGTCTCTGTGCTGCATCGCTTGCAGTTGCGGGCGCACGCTTGCTGGCAGCGAACAGCGATCGCTCGTTTTTATAAGTAATTTTACTTATACAGGGTGACCCATTTTAACTTAGAAAGCCAAATAACTCGAAACATCGCGATTAAATAAAAAAAATGTTTAAAACAAAAATTGTTGGATATGAAGGGGCTGATTGAACTATGACCTTGACAATGACTTTGGCCTTCATTTTCAAGGTTATTTGAAGATCTACTTTCAATTTTCAAATAGAAACCCATATTTTTGATCTCGGATTTTTAAAGCGCGCAAAATTTTACGTCCAGATGAACTTTCATGTTATAGGTCAAAGTTGACCATAGAGGTCATTTCAAAGATAAATTTCTAATTGAAGCAGAAAGCTAAAAAATCTTGATTTTTCCCGGATAGTGTTTGTTAAGAATCACTAAAGAATCACAACAAGAAAATACATATGTAGCATAAAATTTTATTAAAAATCCCCACTTGACCTTGAAATGGTCATGAAAATATGGGTTCAAGGACATTGTCAGGGTCATGGTTTGGTCTCCCCTCGACATCCAACAATTTTTCTCACAAACACCATTCGTGAAAAATCAAGATTTTTTGGCTTTCTGCTTCGATTAGGAATTTGTCTTTGAAATGACCTCTATGATCAACTTTGACCCATAACATGAAAATTCATCTGGACGTAAAATTTTGCGCTCTTTCAAAATCCGGGATCAAAAATATGGGTTTCTATTTGAAAATTGAAAGTAGACTTTCAAATAACCTTGAAAATGAAGGTTAAGATCATTGTCAAGGTCATAGTTCAATCAGTCTCTTCATATCCAACAATTTTTGTTTTAAACATTTTTTTTATTTAATCGCGATGTTTCGAGTTATTTGGCTATCTAAGTTAAAATGGGTCACCCTGTAGAGTCCTCGCTCTTTGTTCTCTACAGCAACGGCTTTTACACTATTTGTTTAGTGCCTTTTCTGGTACTTGCCGATGAAGATGTGCATTTTGCGCTTTCTCATTTAGTGCTAATTTAGTGTTAAGTCATGTGGTGGTGCAAATTGCGGCGACTGCACCATTGCGTTTTGAATTAGTTGCATTTGGAGTTTGTGGATCTAATTCGTGCGCTAACGGCGATGCTTCTTTAGCTAGTTATCTACTCTTAAGGAGAGGGACGTCCGCTACGTCCTTTCCCGTTATTTTTTTATTGGAATTCATGGAACTTAGGGCCTGCGCACAATAGAGGAACAAGAATTAGATATTAAGATTTCATCCTATCAGAAACCGTATATTCCGATGTAATCAGTTTCTGATAGGTTAAAATCTTAATATCTAATTCCTGTTCCTCTGTTGTGCTCAGGCCCTAACTCAACGCATACATTCTTATCTAACATATGCCAGCACCATCTATTGCAAGACCGCGCAGCTACTGCTACACGGAATTTCGGCTCTGTTGACAGTCCTAGTCTTCGCAAAGCACTTGTATACACGTATTTTCTATTTGGTGGAAATATTTCTTTTCTAGACTTTCAATCTTTGTTCTACAAACTCGGTATCGTTCGTTTCAATAATGTGACCTCAGCTGCACGCTTATTTTCAAGATATGGACTCTAAGTCCGGATCTACAATAGGTGTTTTATGCCTTATGCCGTAAGAAACTGACCAATTACAGTCGAATCCGAGAAGAATAAGCGACTGTGATTCGCCCATTTCTTATGGCTTAAGGCTTAAAACCCTATTGTAGATCCGGGGTAAAACTCTTATATCAAGCAAATATATATCTGAGGTGACAGCAGTACGAGCCAAAAGAAAGTGAATTTTTAACGAATTTAAAATTTTTTTCGATTTTCTCATGAAATCCAGTGCAGCTGAGGTCCTGTTTGTGAGTACTTTAATTTAAGTAATAATACTTTTGCAATCCGTACATCCAATACGGAGATTTTTGACCGAATGGAAATGTGGTAAAACAGAAGGCTTTAGCATCGCCTTAAAATTCTTTAAATGTAAAAATTTAATTTAAAAACATGTTTTAAATAAATAAATGAATCAGAATATTGTAAAATAAGTAATTTAAGTTTGAACATAGTTATATATTATATATTTTTAGGGATGAATAAAATGGATGTCTAATGATATGTTTCACTGAACCGCACTAAACCTGCATTATGACTGTACTAGTGCAGTTTTCATCTAAACCACCGACGAGATATTATTAAAGACCGTCAACCCTGGGCAAATTTTCGGCGGTATAAAAAGAGCCCCAAGGGCCCAGAGGTAATTCAAGAACGCTGACATTACCGACAATTGATATAAATTTGCTATTATTAACATAAATATTTGGCTCATGCATTATTAAATTCATGATTTTTTATTACATAAATGTCCCATAAATAAATATACATACTTGTAAAGCTGTAATATTCTATATATTGCAAAAAAAATCACAATTTTTTCTCTGCAATTATCATCTTTATTGATAATCAAACTTTGATGATAACACTGAAATCTCAATTTTAAAGAAAAATCGAGTATTATTGAGTTATAAATGCATAAATACATCTACTAAACTAATTAATCATAAAATTAGTACAATATTATCTGTTTTTAACTCTTAATCACTTCAATATTCACAAGGACGTGAACTCCCGTAAGGATGTCGGTCTTTAATAGTATCTCGTCGATGTCTAAACCTAGCACGGCGCTAGTGCTGCACCAGTTTTTCCAGTGGAAAACGCTATTACATGATGTAATAAAGAAGGTGTCTTCCTATTATGGTCACTTTTTCGTCCTGATTTGCGCAGGTCTCAACTGTCGGCCATATTTGATTTATGTGTGTGTATTGGTGTACATATATAGTTCAGTGTGTTTGTGTATATGGGGAAAGTCATGATAAGGTTATTTTCAGTTATTTTCACGTGTTTACAACAGTGCGATTTTGGAATGTCAAAAAAATTAATGACAATGCCGTTGTGTGCCATGAAAGGGTGTAAAAACCGTTCTGGAAAAGGAAAAAGGGATTTCCGATTTTTTCTTTTCCAAAAAAAAGAGAAATGTGTGAGAAGTGGATACAGGCGTGTGGAAGGAAAATTGGAGAAATTAAGGAGAAGAATGGTATGTACTGTAATGTTAATATAATTTACTTGCCAGTTTATCTTCTTATTATTAAATAATAACGAAATATATTTATTTATTTATTATTTTAAATGTGTAAAAGATTGTATAACGAACTATGTTTATTCAATTTCAAAAAAGTATGGTCTATATCAATGTACGTTACCTTTCTTTTATTTATTTATTATTTATTGTAAATATCATACGCGTTGAACATATTTGTGGTTTAAAGGAGTTCTTAAACGTTAGAAAATATTGAGAACAGGTCGTACTTAAATATTGTTTATACATCGGAATACAGTATTTTCAGTTATTACAATTGTATACAAAATTTTAAACAAAAAACCAATGCATTTAAATAATTATGAAATTTACTTATGTAGCTCGTGTTTCCATTATTATAATTTATTTCTTTACATATTTATTATTTATCGTATTTTCATAAACATTTTTTGTAGTAATGTTAAACGCATCCAATTTTAAATGTTTACTTATGCCGTATAGTATGCGTGTACGCATTTATGGTACAAAAATAAAAATAATTATACAAATAAAAAATTGAATATACATTATTCTATAATAATAGCTGTAATATTATTAAAACATACTAACATTACATTACATTATCTAGTGAATGTTTACTTTTTATTTTTAAGTATGTTTTATACAGTTTAAGCTTGGGCGCATTCAAAATTGGCGCGAGAAAATGGCCGAAAGCTGTGACCTCCATTCATTGGCTGAAGCAAATGGCTGCGCTAGAACACACCTTCTTTATTACATCATGCGCTATTACACTGGTCTCCACTGACTTCAAAGACAGTGGAGCAAAAGTTGAACTTAGTGCAAGTTTTTTGCACCAGTTTTATCGGGAGGATCCCGTTTGCCTACAATCCCGATTGCACACACCACTCATATCAGTTGGTGCCTAGTAATTTTTCACTGCTTTACCAATGAGAATATTTTATTTTTAAATTGGCCAATTAGCGACGTATGTGTGCAACATGCAATGTATGCAATCGGAGTCTTCCCGAGAAAACGCTATTAGATTAAATCAGTGTATAACCAGTAGCTAGGGGGGGGGGGGGGGGGGGAACAACACAATTGCACTCAGTGCGCACCAGTATTGCACCAGTCTTCTCAGTGGAAAACGCTATAAACCTGCATTATTACTGTACTAGTGCAGTTTTCATCTAATATCGTTTTTCATTGGCAGAACTAGTGCGCACTCAGTGCACTTTAAAGCCGTTGTACAAAAATCGACGTAAAGATATACGTTTAATAAAAATATATAAACGAATTAAGGGGATGCTGGAGTGACGGTCGAAGTTAATCAAAGTTGATAGTACAGACTTTTTTACATTCCAAATTCGATAATAGTGACATCTTTCATTCATTTCTTATACTTATCTATATCGTTGTGTCTCGCTCAAACGCATTCATCTGTCCTTATCTGACATATTGCAACGCCATCTCTTAGAAAGAGATCAACTAAAATACTGCTCGGTTTCATGGCTTCACGTCAATTTTATTCGTAGTATACGAACGAAATTTTTGGCGACTCTTTTCTCTTATACCAAAGCCCCTACATCGTTTCTAAAAGCATAGGATTGTTCTTCAAGATTTTCTGTAGGCTGCTGGCTACTTATTTTTAACGGGGAAAATCTGAAACTCTTATATGCAGTACATATTGTGACGAGTTGACTGCAGGAGCCGGTGACAAAACTACAATTTTTAATTTTCTTTCATTTTTCGCATTACATTGTAGCTGGCAGCCTGTGTTGTTGTCGATACTTTAATTGTGGAGAAGGACTTTTCAATCCATAAACACAATTAAGAGAAAAGAGTCTTTAAAAATTGATGATAAAACAGGACACTCTAGCATCCCCTTAAACCGTGAAATATTCGATACAGTTTATTGTGCTATTTGATAAAATAAATTTATCAATTGAGATATCTCACTTTTATATTTAGATTAGAGTAGTGTACAACAGCTTTAATGTGTTTAATATGTAATTGAGTGCGCACTAGTTTTGCCAATGAAAAACGCTATAAACCTAGCACGGCGCTAGTGCTGCACCAGTTTTCCTAGTGGAAAACGCTATAGTCATACATCGTCGATTTCTCACGCGCTAGACACACAATTTCGTTCCTTGCGCTAATCTTTTTATTTAGGCGTCACAACTTAATTCTAAAGATACGACTGTAATCGTCTATTTATTCTACATGTGCACCTGCCCTAATTTCGAGCATATAACGTGCATATAATTTTTTCACGAAGTAAATGTTTGGTGAGCTGATAGCACATGGATACAGGAATCTGTAATTTATTATTTTTCCCAGTTTTGGACACAAAATATACCAGGAGCAGGTACATTAGCACGGATATTTCAATCGTGGAGAAGGAATTTTTATTCTGTGCAACTAATTCGAAGAACCGCGCAAGGAACATAAACGCTTGCTTTATCGGTAAAAAAGAAGAATCCAGCATCCCCTTAAATAATTCCGTGTGAATTGCCAGCCGCGACAATTTCTCACGTGCGGCGCCTGCCGCCACCCACCGATTTAAGTACTTTAAGAGAACTCGGTGCCTCTTGAATAGAGATCCACCGACCAATCAAGTGCCCGCCGCGCGAAGGAATCTTGCAAATTTACAATATTCTACGACTGGACGCGTTCCTGTGAGATAGCTACCATAGTACCCTCAGGAGCATTCCACGGTTGGTCACCCGTTCCGACCAAGTATCTGACAAATCGCGCTAGTACCTCAGTGCAAATCTCGCAATTTCCGACTGGCTGTCCAATAGTGAGCGTCAAGGAACAGCGGGCGCATTGGTCGAGGCGG